AGTGACTCGGCGCAGGGCTGCCTAGGCCTGCCCGCCACCTGGCTGCAAGCAGGCTGCAGGAGACCCTCCAGGTCCCGCACCTGACCCGCTGCGTCTCGCAGGGCTACTTAGACCTGTCCCCCCGGTTTCCGCTCCCAGGCACCTCGAGCCCATCTGACTCTCGAAGGGTTTCCAAACCCCCGTAATCTAGAGACCTAAATTGTACCCTCCTTACCTGGGGAGCCTGTGTCAGTGCTAAATTCATAGCCACATCCCAGCCAGCAACCCCGGGCAACTTCATCTCCAAGATGTCCACACTTATGTACTTTGTGGGAGTCAGTGTGCTAACGGATATAATCGGCCTGGCAGCTGCTACATGCTGAATAAATACCATCCAAAACCACAGTTTTAAAACTTTTTTTCCCCTGTTACATTAGAAAACAATGTCTGAGGCTGAGGCAGGAGGATCGCTGTGAGTTGGGAGACCAGCCTGGGCTACATAGTTTCAGGTCAGTCTCAGCTACATAGTGAGACCCTGTCTCAAAAAAACAAAAACAAAACAAAACAAAACAAAACAAAAAAAAAGAAAAGAAAACAATGTCTGGCAAACACTGATAGTCAAAAGATGTGTGTACTCTGAATAAATGGATGAACCTTGCACCCACCTCTGTTAGCGTGGTTGCACACAAGTTTTTTAAAAAATCCTGAGAACTACTGATGGAACCCATATATTCTCTACATCTATTGTTGCTCTATTTTATTAACATTTTCAAAGAAATAGCATTTTCTTATACTCGTACATCTTTTTTTCCCCCACATCTTTGATTTCATCCTCATTCCCTGGTTTTATTCACCTGTTAATAGATATTTGCAGTTTTTTTCCAATGTGTGCAAATTATGAGTAAAGCTGCTATTAACACTGACATTTGTGTACACGTTTTTATGGATTCGTTTTCTTCAGTATGTACACAGGATTAGAATTTCTAGGTGACAGGTTTGCATTTCTTTGCCTTGTAGTAAAGTTGAGCACCTTTTGTGTACTTACCGATCATTTAGAGTTCTTCTATGAGGTGTCTATTTACAAAAACTCTTCTGGAAGTTAGTCCATTTTTTAAATTGGGTTGTTTGATGTGTAGGAGTTCTTTATGTCTTCTGGAAACTAGTTGTTTTGTTTTGTTTGTACCAGGGATTAAACGAAAACTAGTTTTTTGACAGATTTATCTATTGAAAATATAAACTCCCACCAGCACTTGGGAGGCTGAGGCAGAAGGATCATTGCAAGTTCGAAGTCAGCCTAGGCTACATAGTGAGTTCAAGGCCACCTTGTCTCAAAAACAAAAACAAAAGAAAGAAAAATAAAAGAAAATATAATCTCCCAGTGGCAGCTTTTTCACTTCCTTCCTAGTCTTTTGATTAATGGAAATTTTTTACTTTGATGGAGTTCAATTGCTGAATTATTTTACAATATTTTTAATATCACATTGAAAAATCCTTGCCTGCTCCAAAGGTCATAACATTTTTCTGTATTTTCTTTTAGATATTTTAAAATTTTAATTCTCACTCTTAGCTCTACCATCCATCTCAAATTAGTTTTTGTATTTTAGGTAAGGTAGAGTTCAGGTTCATTTTTCCCCCCATATGGGTATCTGATCACTTCATCTCCATGTATTGAAAAGTTCTTTGTTTCGCCTACTAACTTGTATTGTCACCTTTGTCAAAAATCATGGGATCAAAGCTGGACATGATGGCACATACCTGTAATCCCAGCACTTGGAAACATGAGTTCGAGGCCATCATAAACTACAATAGTGAGTTCAAGGACAGCCTGAGGACTGGGGATTTAGCTTAGTGGTTCTGCCACCTGCCTCCCAAGCACAAGATCCTGAGTTCGATCGCTAGTACCCCCTCCCCCAAAAAAGGACAGCCTGAACTGTATAGTGAGACTCTGTGTCAAAAAAAAAAATCATGTGATCAGACAGGCATGTGGCATACATGTATGATCTCAACACACTGGGAGGCTGAAGCAGAGAATTACAAAATAAAGTCTAGCCTGGTCAACTTTGTGAGACCCTATCTCAAAATAAAAAATAAAAAAGGGAACACAGCTCAAGAAGAAAGCCTTGGGTTGAATCCTCAGTACTGTTAAAAATAAAAATCCAAGTTATCCATTACATGTGAGACTGTGTCTCAACCCTCTATTTTGTTCACCATCATTCTGTTTTAT